AGTGTAAATAAAGTTCAACGTTAACCATCAGAGTGTAAATAAAGTTTAACATTAACCATCACAGTGTAAATAAAGTTCGACGTTAACCATCACAGTGTAAATAAAGTTCAACGTTAACCATCACAGTGTAAATAAAGTTCGACGTTAACCATCACAGTGTAAATAAAGTTTGACGTTAACCATCACAGTGTAAATAAAGTTTGACGTTAACCATCACAGTGTAAATAAAGTTCGACGTTAAACTTTATTTACACTGTGATGGTTAACGTCAAACTTTATTTACACTCTGATGGTTAACGTCGAACTTTATTTACACTGTGATGGTTAACGTTTAAACTTTATTTACACTGTGATGGTTAACGTTGAACTTTATTTACACTGTGATGGTTAACGTTTAAACTTTATTTACACTGTGATGGTTAACGTTTAAACTTTATTTACACTGTGATGGTTAACGTTGAACTTTATTTACACTGTGATGGTTAACGTTAAACTTTATTTACACTCTGATGGTTAACGTTAACCATCAGAGTGTAAATAAAGTTGTACTGACTCAGTAGAACATGTGTTCCTAGTCTCTGATCTCTGATCATGTTTCTTTGTAAACAACCAATCAGTGTTTAAAGCAACAGGAGGAGAGCTAGTAACGTTAGCAGCACCGCTAACGGCTAACCAACAGAGGTTCACTTCAGTTACACTATGATGCCTTCAGGCTCTGCTCAGTGAATGCGTCTGTACATGTGTGTGTGTGTGTGTGTGTGTGTGTGTGTGTGTGTGTGTGTGTACCTGTCCTCTGTCCGTGTCCATCTTCTTCCTCAGCAGCATCTCAAAGCGATGGTTCTGATGCAGCAGGTCGAAGACGTACGTCATCTCGTTGTACCTGCCGATACCCGTCAGCAGACGCACCTGCACACACACACACTCATATTTATAATTCTCTTTAACGTCATTCTAAAAAACACCAAATGGATTTATATCTATCTTGATTTGAGAGTTGGAGGTCAAACCTCCACATTGACTATGTGTGTGCGAGTGTGAGAGAGAGTATGTGTGTCAGTGGGCGGGGCTTCTCAGTGGGCGGGGCTTACCAGCAGGCTGTAGTGCTCCCCCGGGGCCAGGTAGGTGTGGCTGAGGTGTCGGGCGGCTTGCAGCACTCTGACGATGCCCTCCATGTTACAGGTGAGACTGAAGCAGTCGTGAGCCACGACCAGCAACTCCACAACTACGGGAGGAAAGAAAACGGGTTCCTAGTCTCTGATCTCTGATCATGTTTCATCGAAAACAACCAATCAGAGGAGAGCTAGCAACGTTAGCAGCACCGCTAACCAACGGAGGTTCACTTCAGTTACAGTATGATGCCTTCAGGCTCTGCTCAGTGAAATGTGTGTGCATGTGTATGTGTCTGTGTGTGTGTGTGTGTGTCTCATACTGCAGCTCAGGTCTCTCAGTGGAACAGTGTTGAGGTTCTCCAGCAGTTTGACTCCCACCAGGTTCGGATCGTCACACAGTTTGAAGAGCTGGACCAGAGAGTGACGCCCCTCTGACTGCCTGAACACCTGCCTCTCTGCTGGGTCACACACACACGCGCACACACACACACACACACACACACACACACACTTACTGAAAAACTGATGGGACAGTCCAAACCAACATCAGTCCACAAACCAATGAGTGACGTCACGACGACTACATCCACTTCTTATAAACTACTTAGATCAGACCTAGAAATCAGATCACAAGAATATGTTTTCCTCATTCTCCTGTCATGACTTCCGTACAGTCGACAGTGAAGTGAAAACGTCCTGAAAGAACTCACCGGGCTGCAGCTCCTGGGCGGAGGAGGAGGACGAGGAGGAGGCCAGCAGCGCCTGGACCACAGCCGAGGACACCAGCTGGGCCACAGAGTCTGCAGAGAGACCCTGAGCCTTGATGAAGAGCTGAGCTTTCCTGAAGCGCTCCGGCTGCTCCGACAGCAGCAGCTTCTCCAGCACCGAGCCAGGCTCCTCCCTGCACATCTGGCTGAAGGAGCACTGCAGCTCCTGGAGAGGAAGAGAGTACCGACGGTAGAGGGTCAACGTGAACCTTCTCTACGTGGTTTTGAATGAGGACACTGATCCCTCATGAGTGTGGGTGGACTTGGTACCTTGGAGAGCTGGTAGAGGCTGAGGACTTGTTTGCAGTAGGTCTTGCCGTTGCGACACTGATCCACCAGCTTCTGGAGCTGGACGGCGACCTCGTCTTCGGGGAGGGGGAGCATCACGAAGGACGACAGGCTGCTCATCGAGGGATCTGGAGGAGAGAAGATGTGTATGTTATGGAGAAGAAGTTCAATTTACACTTTCTGGGCAGCTTTTCAAACAGAGTGGTTTTCTTGGTGTTAAAAGTTTAATTTGGATGTTTAGAAGAAGAAGAAGAAGAAGAAGAAGAAGAAGAAGAAGATTCTGCATGAGTACTTTTGCTTTTGGTACTTAAGTATATTTTGATTATAATACTTTTGTACATCAAGTAAAATTTTGAATGCCGGACCTTTACTTGTACCAGAGTACTTCTACACGGTGGTATTAGTACTTTTACTTCTTCCACCACTGGAGAAGTATCAGAGCAGTGCTATCCTTACTATCGTTATTCATGTAAAGTGGAAGGTGAGGGAAGCTTACAGCTGGTGAGGCTCTTCTTTGGCTGAACCTCTGAGGCCTCCTCCTGCGGTTCAGGGTCCAAGTCTCCGGAGGCTAGACCTCTGCAGCGCAGCACCACCCACATGTCCCGGTGATACAGAGAGAAATACCGGCAGATCCGGCTGGCTTCGTGGATGCTGCCTTCCTCCAATAACTGACCAATGAGAGCAGCCAGAGCGCTCCTCTCCTCCGGACTCAACGGGGCCTCGCTGTTCAGCTCCTCCTGGTCCTCACCGGGACCGGGGAGTCCCTCCAGACCGAGCCACCTCTCGGTGTTCAGGCCCGATATGCTGGAGAAGGAGAACTCCCTCATCAGTTCTGGCGTGACGGCGGGCGGCGGCAGGTTGAAGACGCTCTCCTTCTCCATGGCGGCGGCGAGGATGTGTCGTCGCACCCGGCCGATCCACAGCTTCTTCTCCAGGCTCTCCAGCTGGTCCCCGGGAGCCGGGCTGAGCAGCGAGAGCCAGCGGGCGGCGAGGCAGAGCAGCAGGCAGCGCTCTTGGACGTCCAGCAGCTCGATCTGAGCCTCCGGCGGGTCGGCGGTCACCGTGTCGGCCTGAGACAGGAAGAACCGGGAGGCCGATTCCGGATCGGCGCTTTCAGCCTTCAGCTGCTCGTGACACCTCCTCCACAGACCGACTCGCGTCTCCAGCCTCCTCCACTGGCGCTTGGACTTCTGGGAGTTTACCTCCTGGAGAAGCTAAAAGGAAAATACAGAAATACAAACATAAACATCGTTCCACCGATGCTGAATCATTTACAATTAACAGACAAATATAAGAGATATCTTCTTAACACATGACATGAAACAAACACTCTGGACAAGAGGATTATTAAAATAAAAGTGTGCAATGAAGACAGTCTGACCTGCAGGTGGCACTAGAGGAAAGCTACACTGTGTTTGCAACAAAAGCTCCGCACAGAGAGAATATTTGATCGACATGGCCACTGAAGAATGTCATCTGTGAGTGAATGTACAATCTGAAGCTCAGCTGTCTAAGCCTCTGTGTGGTCTGTGTGGTCTGCGTGGTCTGCGTGGTCTGCGTGGTCCGTGTTGTCTGCGTGGTCCGTGTTGTCTGCGTGGTCTGCGTGGTCTGCGTGGTCCGTGTTGTCTGCGTGGTCCGTGTTGTCTGCGTGGTCTGAATGGTCTGCGTGGTCCGTGTTGTCTGCGTGGTCTGCGTGGTCTGTGTGGTCCGTGTGGTGGATCAGACCTGGCTGAGCAGCAGGCGGTGGACGGGCAGCCCAGCCAGCAGGGCGACCTGTCTGGCCGCGCTATAGCGCCCCCTGGCCTGCAGGGCGTCCACCGCGGCCTGGAACTCCTCCTGTTGGACGGAGGGAGAACTGCACTGTAGCAGCCTGGGAGACAGGCTGACCTCTGATCCCTGCAGCAGCTGGCTGAGCTGACTCAGCTTCCTGAAGTCTGGACCTACACACACACACACACACACACACA